CTTGTAAAGGGTGCAAGTTAGAACATGGGTAAAGTTTTTAGGGCATTGTGCAGAATGACAACCAAGTCAATCACACAGTCACCATTACAATAGCTATAACATATTGAGTAGCGCTGTGACTCATGATTAAAAAAGTCTGCATCATCATGCGTTTTGAGAAATGTCTTGAGAATAATTTAGAAATTTGAATGTTTACCGTACATAAGGTTCGATTTCTTCCATGGACCATTTTTCTTTTTCCAAAAACAGCCGCTGAAACCGTTCCAAACCCGAAGGGGAAAGCTCCTCTTCCGGAAAGTACTGTACACAAGGCGGAGGGTCGTGATGTAAAATTGCTAATCCGTCTAACATTTCCAAACTTGTATTCATGTTAGGAGGGACACTCTGCTGCCAGGCGACGAGGAACTCTTGCATATGAAACTGAAATACTCAACTGAAGTGCGAATGTCAAAGAAGATCGAAGCCGAACCTTCCCTACCGGCTTCAGAAGCATTCTAGCATATAGCCTACACACCTTACGCTCGTCCAGTGTAGTCGTGTTACCTAAAATAGGAAGAGTCAAGGGCAGCATATACGAAAAAAACGCTTCGTTCATAATACTTTAGAATTTATGTAAGCCAAAAACAAATAATAAATATTAAATGTACCGTCCTCGCTTAGATGAGCAAATAATGAAAACCATTTATCCAAAACTTCTGGCGGAATCATATCCAGAAAGTTAGTTCGAAATGTGGTAGCATTGAAACTTCGCCAGTCAAAGCCAAATTCTTCCATAGCTCCGGTAATCTCAGACGTCACTTTGCTGAGGTAGTCGAAATGCAAAAGCCGAACAAATCCTGTGAACAAATGATGATCATAAAGTATGCTGTTCACACAGAACAAGAGTACCGTTCATCGAATGTTGTAAAGAAAGATACAGTCTATTTTTAAAAGTACACTAAAACATTTATTGAGATATCTAGGCCGCACCGAGAGAAATCTCCTACAGGGTTATACTGTAAAACTAATGTATTTATATGTAGATAATCTGTGACCTTCCAGACCAAGCTCGAGCCCTGTTTAGGGAGCCAAATGAGAAAAAGCATTAATTCGTTTTGCACGATTTACCGAAGGAAATTCTCCCAATAACATATTCCGACGATTTTAGTTGCTTAGTTTGCTAGTTTTCTTGACTTTAAGGTCGCATTTGATTCTCCACATTATCCAATGGTAAGGAAAATTTTCAGATGCCGTGGTGTATTGGAAGACATCAATTTTATTTTGGGAGAGACATGCTGGAACCATATCTGCTGTCAAAGTTGAAGGAGAGATATCTGAATGGTAACCAGTAACTGTGGAGTTCGTTGCTCTTACCTTTGCTGTTCAACACTGTTCACGACCGTTTTTCTATAACAGTGCTGGTCCTGGCAAAGACGAAGATTTCACTTTAAAGATAAGGCGCAGCTGAAGATAATTAGCCAGATATCTTGTTGACTTGAAGTAGTATAGTCCTGGAGAATAATACAACTGAACATGAATCGGAACAAGGCGCAAGAACGATGGAAGAACTGCGTACATTAGAGTTTACTTCGATGCATAACGAGGGTTAAATGAGAAGACCATGTAAGGAATGGCGCGATTCCCTTCCGGGCATAGGTTACGGTGGTTTCAAATATGTTGAGATTAAAAAAACCGCAACAACTTCATGCCATTATTGTTGAAGTCGCTAGGGTCATTCTCTTCAATCACGCCTTTCCACTTTCAGAGTCTCCTCTGACATTTACATTAAAATCGCCCATGAAAATGAGGGTCTCCTCATTCGGCAATTCATACAAAGCAAACTCTATTACCTCAAGGGAAGACCCACATTCCCCTTCTAAATTTAGGTGCTAGACCTGTAAAAAAGTCAACGATTCAACCTGTTGTTCCTTC